GAAAGGAAGAACTACTCATGGCCTATTTCGGAGAAAGTCTGGTTGGCATCGCATCTGAGTGGTACATGGACCAGGATATATCCCGCTGGTACATCTGGGATGATCTTGCTAGAGATTTCGTCAGGCAGTTCCAGTACAACATTGATATTGCTCCAGATAGGAACTCATTGACAAACTTGAAAAAAGAAATCATCAGAAAGCTTCCAAGAGTACGCAGTTAAATGGCGTGAGCAGGCATCCAGGGTAAAGCCTCTGATGGATGAGGTTGAAATGGTCACAGTTTTCCTTCAAGCTCAGGAAGCTGACAACTTCCAAAATATGATGTCCGCAATGGGTAAACCATTCACTGAAGCTATCAAGATTGGCGAAATAGTTGAAAATGGGCTGAAAATGGGTCGAATTCTAAGCCAATCCGCTATCAGAGCTACCTCCCAAGCCATTCAGGGTGGGTCTGGAGGAATATCAAAGGGAAAGAAAAAGGAAGAAACATCCATGGCAGTGTCGGGTGCAAGGAGAAAATGTACTCCCAGATCCCTTTTCTCATAAAGGACATCGCAGCACTATTACCCTCACCAAGACTTGGTCTATACTCCTCAGCCATACTCGGTCATGAATGCTCAGCCTTATGTCCGGCCACAACAACAAGCCAACATAAATCAAGCTCCATTTCCTAGAAACCAACCTCCTTACCAAACCCACTACAACCCCCGTCCTCCACAAAATAATTTCCACCCTCATGAACCGCCCAAGAGGCCAAATTTCACACCAATTGGCGAAACCTACTCCAGCCTGTTACCAAAGCTTGTTCAAATGGGTCTGCTATAGCCTGTTCCTCAAACTAGGCAAAACCCAGCGTCACCCGCTTACAGAGCCGGTACCCGATGCGCCTATCACTCAGGGGCAGAAGGGCATGACACGGATGATTGCTGGACCCTAAAGAGAGCCGTGGAGAACTTGATAGAACAAATGAAGATAGTGTTGAGGGAAGAAGATGTTCCCAATGTGACCAACAACCCACTGCCAGCCCACAACAACGGGACGGTAATTGGAATGATTTTTGAGGATAAGGAATTTGACCCAGCATTGAAGGCCATCATTGCCATTGCTGACGAAGAAAAGAAACCAAAAGCTGTCCCGAAGCAAGATAAAGGGGAGAAAAAGAAAGAAACCACCCCTCCAAAGTCAGAGAAGAAAATTGAAGTTGAGACCGGGGCAACGCCTCCCAAAGATGTTGTTCTCTACGTCCCTCAAGGCCGTAAAGAAAAGCAGATGACATTGAGTCCTCCCAGGAGATTCGAGCTGAACAAAACAACCCAGATGTATGTGCCCAAGGGGGCTTATGTGATGCGGGGGCCAATTAAGTCATCGAGGCTGAATGAGCCCGTGGTTATTGGACGCGCGCCACAGAAGCCCATGAAATATCCTACTGTTGTGCCCTGGAACTACAACAAAACGGTGGTGACCTATAAGGGCAAAGAAATCTCAGTAGAAGTTCAAGAAAATAACCCTGTTGAAAAGTATTCCAATTTGGAAGAGGTGAACAACGCTACTAGAAAGCGCTTCCCACTTAAGAAGCCCGTGAGTGCCAAAGAAGCGGAGGCTTTCTTTCAAAACATGAAAATGGCAGATTATGAGGTGATTGACCAGCTTCGAAAATTTCCCGAACAAGTCTCCTTGTTGGCTTTGTTGATGAATTCCGCTGAACATCAGAAGGTATTGATTAAGACCCTTAACGAAGCATATGTGCCTGTTGACACTTCTGTAGAGCAGTTGGAGAGAATGGCAGAAAGTTTTTTCGCAATCAACCAGATCACTTTCAGCAAAAATGATTTGCCCTCAGAAGGGGCCACACATAACAAAGCCCTGCACCTAACAGTCAAATGCAAAGGGCACTACGTGAAAAGGGTTATGTTGGACGGAGGCTCTGGAGTAGACATTTGCCCACTTTCAACTCTACAGCGCATGAAAATCGGGACCGAAATAATCCGACCCAACAATGTCTGCGTACGTGCCTTCAATGGCATCAAAAGGGACACAATTGGAGAGATCGATCTAATTCTGACCATCGACCCAGTAGACTTTGAAGTAACCTTCCAAGTTCTAGACATGGACACATCCTACAACTTTCTTTTGGGGAGGCCATGGATTCATGCATCGGGGGCTGTACCCTCTACTCTTCATCAGATGGTGAAGTTTGAGCATGAGGATCAAGAGATCGTGGTCTACAGAGAAGATGAACAATCAATTTATCGGGACCCATCAGTCCCATGTCTTGAAGCAAGAGAGGGGAGTGAGCACATAGTTTATCAGGCTTTTGAAATTGTGGTTGCAGACCAGTACAAAGAAGGAAACCCTTGCCCCCAACCCTTCCTTTCTAATGCATCAATCATGGTGGCCAAAGAAATGATCTGACATGGCTTCAAACTAGGGAAGGGACTTGGGAAATCATTGCAAGGGATAGTTGAACTTATCACCCTGCCCACCAGTGAAAAGTTCTTCGGGGTAGGCTTCCGACCCACTCTAGCTGATATAAGAAGGGCAGATGATAGAAAGAATGATGGTTGGGTCTTGCCTCAGCCGGTTTCGCATCTGTACAGAACATTTTTCAAGCCAAAATACTAGAAGAAAGAAGAAGATGAGGCCTTTAAGGCCGAAGAGATTGAAGAGATCTGTGGGGCAATGAGGAAAATACTATATGAAACCCACATGGTCCAGCCAGGGGAGGGCTCAAGCACCGCTGAGGTGCTGTATATGGGACCCAATGCCAAGCTGCAGAATTGGAAGGCTACGCCATTCCCAATCAGGCGGGAGTCCCGGTAGACCTGTCCTGCCACTTTTTCTGCATCGCGAGTTATGTCAGGGTGTAACTCGGATGTTTTTCTTTAGTTTCTTGTCTTTTAATTTCCAATGTAAACCCTCTTATCTTCAAATTCAAAGAAATAAAATCATATTTCATCGTCCATCTTTCTTTATTCTTTCTGATTTTGTTATTTTTTCTCTTTTTTCTTTCAGCTCTAATAATGTGGCTTTAAATAACATGACATGCTTGCGGACTTCATGCCCAGATCCAAACACGCTGTCTAACTGCGAAATAATGAACCAAGAACCGGAATATGATGAAGAAGAGGCTTTTAAGGAAATAAATCGAGAATTGGAACAATTTGAGAATAAACCTAAGCCAAACTTAAATGAAACCGAGCCGGTTAATTTGGGTAGCTTTGAAGAAGTCAAAAAAACCAAGATAAGCATTCATACAGATGAAAGAACCAGGGATGCATTGATCCAACTTTTGTTTGAATTCAAAGATGTGTTTGCTTGGTCATACGATGACATGCCAGGATTAAGTGTCGATTTAGTGGTCCATAAGTTAGGAGTTACAANGGTGGATGTGCGGGCATACAAGAATGGATAAGATTAGGAATGAAGATATTCGAGAGAAGGTGGGCGTGGCCCCCATAGAGGACAAGATGCGGGAAGCAAGACTCAGATGGTTCGGACATATTCAGAGGAGGAGCACTGATTCACCGGTGAGGAGATGTGAGCGACTGGCTGTAGTGGACATGCGGAGAGGTAGAGGACGACCTAAGAAGTATTGGGGAGAGGTGATCAGACAGGACATGGCGCGACTTCGGATTACTGAGGACATGGCCCTTAACAGGGAATTATGGAGGTCGAGTATTAAGGTTGTAGGTTAGGGGAGAGTTGTGAATATTTCTACATCACAATAGAGTGAGACTAGCCAGTTAGGAGTTAGACTAAGAATGTCATTGGTCATTTATTGATGCAGGGCTTTACCTGCTAGTCTTACCATACCAGTCATCTTTTTCGTATGTCGTATTCTGTATTTCATATTTATTGTATTGCTATTATTGTATTGCTGTTATTTTATTATGCATTTTTATAGTACTAATATATCGGTTTCGGTTGCTTTTTGAGTCGAGGGTCTCCTGGAAACAGCCTCTCTACCCTTCGGGGTAGGGGTAAGGTCTGCGTACATATTACCCTCCCCAGACCCCACGTGTGGGATTATACTGGGTTGTTGTTGTTGTTGTTGTTAGTGGTCCATAAGTTGCCAAACTACCCCGATTATTCCCTTATCCAGCAAAAACAGAGGAAGTTCAAAATTGATATCAGTGACAAGATTAGAAGAGGTCACAAAACAGTTAAAGGCGGGAGTGATCCGAGTGGTCTGATACACCACATGGCTGGCTAATATAGTTCCTGTGCCAAAGAAAGATGGGAAAATCCGGGTGTGCGTTGACTACTGAGATCTGAACAAATCAAGCCCCAAGGACAATTTCCCTTTGCCAAACATCCACATCCTTGTTGATAACTGCGCCAAACATGAAATACAGTCTTTTGTGGATTGTTACGCAGGATACCACCAGGTGTTGATGGATGAAGAAGATGCAGAAAAAATAGTTTTTACCACACCTTGGGGCACTTACTGTTATAGAGTCATGCCATTTTGTCTGAAAAATGCCGGGGCAACCTACATGAGGGCCATGACTGCCATTTTTTATGATATGATGCACCAAGAGATAGAGGTGTATGTGGACGATGTAATCATCAAATCCAAAACCCAGGACGACCACGTTCGGGACTTGAAAAAATTCTTTGAGCGGCTGCGCAAATATGATTTGAAGCTGAACCCAGCCAAATGTGCATTTGGGGTACATCCGGCAAACTTTTGGGATTCATAGTCAGTCGGAGAGGCATCGAGTTATATCCAACAAAGATAAAGTCTATTCGGGATTTGCCTCCTCCAAGAACTAAGAAAGATGTTATAAGTTTGTTGGGAAGATTGAATTACATCAGTCGTTTCATTGCTCAGTTGACCTCCACGTGTGAACCCATATTTAAGTTGTTAAAGAAAGATGCGGCAATCAAATGGATAGTTGAATGTCAAGAAGCTTTTGATAAAATCAAGGAATATCTGTCAAATCCGCCAGTCTTGGTCCCACCTGAGCCAGGAAGGCCTCTGTTCTTGCACCTGACCGTCTTAGAAAATTCTTTTGGCTGTGTCCTCGGGCAACATGATGTGACCATAAAGAAGGAGCAGGCCATTTACTATCTGAGCAAGAAGTTTACTAGTTATGAAGCCAAGTACACTTTATTAGAAAGAACTTGTTGTGCTTTGACATGGGTCGCTCAGAAGCTGAGGCATTATTTGCAAGCTTACACCACCTACCTCATAACCAGGTTGGATCCTTTAAAGTACATATTTCAGAAACCAATGCCCACTGGGAGATTAGCAAAGTGGCAGATCTTTCTTACGGAGTTTGACATAGTCTATGTTACTCGTACGACAATGAAAGCCCAGACATTAGCGGATCATTTGGCTGAGAACCCGATTGATGATGAGTACCAACCTTTGAGAAATTACTTCCCAGATGAAGAAGTAAATTCAGTTGAGGCAATATCTGAAGACACTCATGCTTGGAAAATGTTCTTTGATGGGGCGGTAAACGCAAAAGGTGTTGGAATTGGGGCAATTTTGATCTCACCCACTGGTTAGCACTATCCAGCCACAACTCGGCTTCGGTTCTTCTGTACAAACAACACCGCCGAGTATGAAGCTTGAATTATGGGTATAAACATAGCAATCGACCAAAATGTCGAAGAGTTGTTGATCATGGGAGACTCAGATCTGATTATCCGGCAAGCCCAAGGAGAATGGGAAACCCGAGATGTTAAGCTTATCCCTTACAAGAAGCATGTGGAAGACCTTGGCAAGCGATTCAAGTCAATCGAGTTCAGGTACATTCCTCGTTGTCATAACGAATTAGCCGACACACTTGTTACTTTGGCCTCAATGCTGCTGTATCCAGGCAATACTCACATAGATCCCTTGGAAATTCAAATCCGGGAAAGGCATGGTTATTGTAATACAATTGAAGCAGCACAAAATACCCAACCATGGTACCATGACATCAAAATGTTTCTGAAAACTCAAGAATACCCCGAGCAAGCCAGTGGAGACCAAAAGAGAACCATTAGACGGCACGCGAGTGGTTTCTTTTTGAATGGGGATGTCTTGTACAAGAGAACTCCGGACCTCAATTTGTTAAGATGTGTTGACGCAGAAGAGGATGGAAGAATCATGCATGAGGTACATGCGGGAGTATGCGGGCCCCACATGAATGGGTATGTTTTAGCAAAGAAAATCCTTCGAGTGGGTTATTACTGGATATCCATGGAAAAGGACTGTTTTAGTTTCGTTCGGAAGTGTCATCAGTGTCAGGTGCACAGTGACTTGATTCATGCACCTCCCACAGAACTGCATCCCATGTCTGCACCTTGGCCATTTGTTGCCTGGGGCATGGACGTCATTGGGCCAATCGAGCCAAAAGCCTCAAATGGACACAGATTCATACTAGTTGCCATTGACTACTTTACAAAATGGGTTGAAGCAATCACTCTCAAGTCTGTCACCAAGAAAGCTGTGGTAGATTTCGTGCACTCCAATCTTATCTGCCGTTTTGGCATTCCTGCAACTATTATCACAGACAATGCTGCAAACTTGAATAGTCATTTGATGGGGGAGATATGTGAGCAATTCAAGATAATGCACCGGAACTCTACTCCTTATCGGCCTAAAGGCAATGGTGCCGTTGAAGCAGCAAACAAAAACATCAAAAAGATTTTGAGAAAGATGATTCAAAGTTCCAGGCAGTGGCATGAAAAGTTGTCGTTTGCATTTTTGGGATATCGCACTACTGTGCGCACATCAATTGGAGCCACCCAGTATCTTTTGGTTTATGGCACGGAAGCCGTAATACCCGCCGAGGTTGAAATCCCCTCTCTCCGAATCATTGTTGAAGCCGAAATTGAAGACATTGAGTGGGTTAAAACCCGTCTGGAACAATTAACCTTGATCGATGAAAAGCGAATGACTGCGGTCTGCCACGGGCAGTTGTACCAACAAAGAATGTCTCGTGCCTATAACAAGAAAGTGCGGCCTAGAAGTTTTGAAGTGGGGCAACTCGTTTTAAGGCGTATTCTTCCCCATCACCAGGAAGCAAAAGGAAAATTTGCTCCTAATTGGAAGGGCCCATATGTCATCAGAAAGATATTGCCGAGAGGAGCATTGTATCTGGGCGATATCGAAGAAAATGATCCTGAAGCAGCTGTAAATGCGGATGCAGTCAAAAGGTACTATGTTTAGTCTTTCTGTAACAACAACATTGTCCGATTGGGAGGACGAAGGCTTTTATTCTCGCTACCCAAATACTATCTACCCTTTGCAAACCCATTTGTGCCGGTTACTCTTCTTTGATTGCCCTCTTTGGAACTTGAAAGTGTTATTGAAAAAAAAGAAATGAAAAAAAAGAAGAAGATGTTTTCCTAAACTACGTTCAATTTGATTCCGAAAGGATACGTAGGCAGCCTCTCTATGGGGTTCAGTCACA